TACTTACTTCTCTCTCTCTCTCTCTCTCTCTCTCTCTCTCTCTCTCTCTCTCTCTCTCTCTCTCTCTCTCTCTTTCTCTCTCTCCTATACGTCCTTCCATCATTTTTTTCAACGATGGATTTTTAGAGAATTAAATGTAGTATTTTCAGGTCGATAACAACGAACAAAATTTTATATATATATATGAAAGCATCGTTTATACAACTCGTTCGGTCGAGCACCATTCGAGTCTCAAAAAAAAAAAAAATACTATCCTTGTATTACTTATATATTGTTAGTCGATAAAGAAGACCGCGTTCCAACTTGCATCCGATCGTTTGCTCGAGCAGAAACGATATAAATCGAATCACATGCTCGATTTCACGATTTGGAAATAACATAATTTTTCGTCGATGTTGCATCACTGTCCTCCTTAGATCGAATATCCTAACTAACATTCGCGAGAAACTAAAGTCTCTACATTAACGAATTAACAACGAAACAGACGTTTATACTTATTATTAATTTCATACTTTATATAATAATAAATCGAATACAAAGTGTTTCCTTCCAAATAGCAAATATAAAAAGTAATTTCTTAACGCATCCGTGAATGAAACTTCAACTCACGTGATGCGTTATCGTTTGAAAAATGAAAAGAAAAGAAAAGAAAAAAAACGAACTAAAGAGGGCAGTACAGTTCGACCACAAACTTGTGTCGAAAGTTGCGAGTTGGAACACGGCCCGACAGATGATGAGTGTTGTTGCGTGAGAGTCGATGCGTGAATGGCCTCTCGTTAGCGGCCATTGTGACGAGGACTTGCGACTTGCTAAACGGATAATACGATCATACGAGATTACGTTAGATTCGAAATCCTCTTTTTTGTCGTATTTCCTTTCTTGCTGCTCGTCGCGCCTGCGCGTGCGCGGTTCGACAATTCGACTGCCACGCTCTCGTCGATACAGGCACGGCCTGTTTAACCATACGCGTGTATTATTTATTCTATCGCATAAAGAGGAAGTTTTTTTCGAGAAAAGCTATTTCGAGCGAGGCAGGCACAGATTTTATCATTCATTAGATGATTAGATGAATGAATCATTACCACAGATGGAGCGTAATAATTAATAATTTCAGGGTAACAGGAGTAAAAGAACATTTTTGAACATTTAAACGGCGACGGATATAATAATAAATATGTCGCGATATCGTTCATCGCGATCTCGGGATGAACCACGATTGCAGGGGTTTTACGTTTACCGTTTTTCTTTTTTCTTTTTTTTTTTTTTTTTTTTCTTCTTTTATTTTAATTTTAAGAGAGTGTGTACATATAGACACGTCGAGCAATCAATTATCGTTGCTCTTTCTACTTTCTTATAATTTGCAATATAATATTTTTAGCGTGTAAGCGTAATTTAAAGGGGTGAATTTTCTTCTTTTTTTTTTTTTTTCTTCCCCTTAATTATCTCAGTTTTATAAAATATTTTTGTACGTTGAGATCTTGGAAGAAAATATACTACTACTACTAATAATAATAGTAATAATAATAATAATAATCGTATCAAGAATTTAATTAAGCATTGCGTGAAATATATTTCGAATTTTTTGAAAAGAGAAAAAAAAAAAAAATCACGACGATGAAAAAGGTGATTGCGTTTCTCTTATTCTCGAGAATAAATAATTGGTTGTGCCTTCGATGGATTTTTAAATAAAAGGAAAATAATATCGAGTTGTATTTTTTACATCAAAATTTATATCATGTGCAGAGGAGGAAGAAAAAAAATTGTTCTAATCGGAGAACGAACCGAGATTTATCAACCACACAATAAAAAAACGAAAAATAGAAATCAGTAACGGTTTACCTCGGTTTACCTTCCATAGAGATTGTTGCAGCTTTGTGTAAACGGAGTGACGCAGCGTCCTGGAATTTCCGTGAGTAATTTTATTTAGAACTTAAGAATATTTTTAACGAACCTCGAGAAGTTTGGGAATTAAGATGATTTCCGGTTGAAAATAATTTTCAATCCAATTCTATGTATTTATATAATATAAATATAAATTCGAAAATTTCGTCAAATCAGCACGATCCGATTCCAGAATCAAGAGAAACCCGATTTTTTTCAATGTTAACGACCTTGAATGAACTACCGAAGGTAATATGGTATCACGTGTACGATGCAAGGTTTCTTCATTAAGGATTTATTCTGCGTCGAAATCCAGATAAATAACGATTCGTACGAACAATTCGAGAGAATATCACGTGGCAATGCGAATCTACTACTTTCGACAATCTAGTCATGTTTTACAAGCGTTTTTTGGATTTCGAGAGTTTTTTCACGAATTTCAAAAAAATACAACCATAACAATCTATTTTTATTCAACCTCGTAAGAATACTCGTAAAATTCAAATTCAATTTTTCGCGAAGAATCCAAAAATTTCGATTACCTAAAACAGGATTATTCCAAATCCTTTCCAAAATTAAATACTTTTTCATGATCGAAAAGGATTTTTCAAATCTCCATGAATAGAATTTCGGTCATTCGAAACAGGACCATTTCAAATCCATTCCAAAATTAATATCCCTTCCCCCCTCTTTTCTCATCGTTGAAAAAAATTTTTCGAGACCTGGCAAATTTCAAGTTCAATTTTTCTCAAAGAATCCAATAATCAAATTCCTCATCGTCGAAAAGAATTTCGATCAAACTTAAAATTAAATTTGAATTTAAAAAAAAATATGGAACACTCCCCTCTTGCTTATCATCGAAAACACGAAATCGCCAAAGAAGGGAGGAAAGACAAAAAGTGAGCGAGGATTTAAATCGAACGCGTACTCGAAGAAGTTTGGATAACGGTCGCGGCGACTTCTTAATAAGTGCGTTCACCTTGGCCGAACGAGCGCTCGGATTAATGGCACGAAGAGTGGGGAGAGAACGGTGGAGAAAAAAGAAGAAGCTCCTCGACTCGACTCGACTCGGCCTATCGAAACGAGTTCGAAGGAGCGAAGCGCGTGGCGAATCGCTTCCACCGCGAATCGAGGGAAGGATCGAGTCTTGGGACAAGATTACCACCGCCACTGGTGACTGATTGCCTCCACGCCGATGTTCGACGCAGAACGTGTCTTTCGACTCGTGACAGACCTTCTCTCACAAGCGTTCGAGCCGTGCATTTTATTTTATTTACTTTAAGAATCGGAAGATAAGAATCTCAATGTTGGATGTTTTGCAAAAAAAAAAAAAGTTGATGACAGGAGAACAGAAGTTTCCATCTAATCCCTATCTGATTTTTATTTAATAACAAAAACCGTGAACAAAAACCGTGATAGAAAAGAGATTTATACAAAAGGTAATTTTAATTTCATTCCAAGTAAATTTTAATGTTATTTAATTAACGAATTCAATTCAATTAGCGAGGCTCGCTTATACCTTTCCGTATACCTCGCACATACATGCATACGTGTATATATATATATACATACATACACCGTAATACCTTCATCGATTCCCCCGTGCTATTGAACCCGCGACAAAGTGCAACGTACAACGACAACGT